TGTCAGCTGAAGCTCAGCTAATGTGTCCAAAGAACCATGAATAAAATTAAGCAAGAATCAGTATAACATTAAAAGCCCCTTTCACATATTTTGAGAAGATCATAATTGATTGTTAAACACATAAGTTCTGAATGAGGTGAAGCAAACAGACGCTACTTTTCTGTAATCTTTAGAAAAAATACAAATACATGATTTGGGATCAAGTATTCTTTCTGTCAGGTACATAACTTCATCCAGATAAGTTGTTGTTTGTTTGTTTGCTTTTTTGTTTGTTTTGTTTGTTTTTTGATAACTGGTATACTACATGCTTATTTGTTTGTTTTTTATAGAAAATCATAAAGTCTACCAAACTACCCTTCAGTCTATAAACTGTTGGACAAAGACACAATTTCTATAGTTTTGCTGCTGTACACCACCGCAATAACATTTAAACCAGCCATATTTCAGCTTTAATTATGTGGTTTGGCAAAGATTTTAATTAACTTAAGCACCTATTAATTAAATTTTAATTGTTTATGAATTAGCTGCATCAAACTGGCTGAGAGTATTAGCTATATTTATACATAGACCTTATTTACAGGGATTCATTCTGTTTAGGAATAAACTAAGTCATAAATGCAGCCTAAAGATCAGACGATCTGTCTGACTTTGTTTGTTCTATCATTTGCACCAACATCTCTTTAGGTCCCATCTTGAAATTACAATGAAAGGGTTAAAAAAAAAAGGCATCACTTGCCACAAAACAAAATTGTTTGTCAGTGACTTCTCCAATTACTTTTGAGGCTCTAATGAAGAACTATGTATAAAAATGACTATAGTTAAAGTAAAATGTTTGTTAAACCTGCTGAACTAAAGTTGAACGTCTGCACTTCAGTCGCATCTTAACTGTGTGATTTAAAATTGTGTGGCGGGACAAAAAAAAATCCCACTGATGTTGAATATCTCTGTCTGGATAAACCACTGAATGGTTACAAAGCCAAATACCCCCAACAAAGAGAAACGCACAAACAAATGTTTAAATCACTGTGAAATATTTTATTTATTTATATTTATTTACAATTTTTATATAAGTTTCTATTAAACATAAACCAGGGATAAGGGTGACTCTTTACCCTGAAAAAAA